GCTGCCGGGGGGGGAGCCCAAGCCCGACCCAAAGCATCCAGGCGGAGCTCCGTGGAATCAGGTCTGTACAGTGTGCAGCGCTTCGACGCGGGGCGCCCCCCCTACAGGGGGGATTTTCGACGAAAAATCAAGAAATACTCAAACAATACCCCCAAATGGTCAAAAGATACCCAAAAAGTCGTCCCCAGACTATCGTTGCGACCAGTTTTGAATACTCCTCCTGTAGAGGGACAAGCCCGACTTAAGCCTACCCCTCCCAGCCCTGCTCCTCCCGCCCGCCCCCTCTCGCTGACCTCTCCTCCATCCGCCGACGAGGCAGTGGAAGATAAGCAGGAGGAGGGGCAGGTGGAGGAGGAGGAGGAGGAGGAGAAAGAGAACCAGCAGCAGCAGGAGCAGGAGTGGAAGGAGCGGGAGGAACAGGAGGACCATAGGGGAAGGCGGAGGAGGGGACACGAGGGGGGCGACGACGAGGCGGAAGGACTTGTCCTGACCGCTTAAACCCCCTCCAGCCTGCGAGCCGCAGCCCCTGACCCAGACCGAAGGGAACACGAGCCTCTGATGGCCGCGACCCGCCACCTTCGCGGGCGGGCGCGTGCAAGTCGACGACGCTGCAGTGCAAAGAGGAGGAGGAGGAGGAGGAGGAGGAGGAGGAGGAGGAGGACGACGAGGAGGAGGAGGAGGAGGAGGAGAAAGAGGAGGAAGAGGAGGAGGAGTGGGGAAGCACTCGGCGCAGAGAACCGGATCGCGCTGGGACGAGAGCGCCATTCTGAACGACGCGGGCAAAACGCCCATCCTAAAATGAAGCACACGCTGCAGCGGCAGCACCATGTAGAAACACAGAAAACCAAAGCCATAAGGAAGAAACAACTCTTGAAAGTCCGTGCAATAGTTTGCATTTTAAAAGGAGCGCGGAGAAAGCGGGACTGTCCCCGGCAACCCGCGGGGGAGAGAGGAGGGTAGCATTCTTACCAAGTAACTCTGGGGGGAGGGGGGGAGGAGGGACCGAACGTTTCGACATTCCTATAGGCCTATCACAAGATGCTCTTAGAACGAACGAATTCCCTAAGTGAAACACGACGGTCCCAGGCAGCCAGATATGAGAACAGGACATTTCGCGCACACCACAGCAGGCCCTTCGAGCATTCTCTGGTGGGCCTAGACCACAAGAAACCCTTCCGCGAGAAACCCAAACCCTGAGACCCCAGGACGTCCATCGACTTCTGGCGTGGGAGCGCCCCGCTCCCCATCGCAAAACCATGGGAACCCCGAAAAGCCCAGGGCAGCCTAGAGGAGGAGGAGGAGGAGGAGGAGGAGGAGGAGGAGGAGGAGGAGGAGGAGGAGGAGGAGGAGGAGGAGGAGGAGAAGGGAGGAGGAGGAGGAGAGGAGGCGGAGGAGGGAGGAGGCGGAGGCGTAGGAGAGGAGGCGGCGGAGAGAGGAGCGGAGGAGGAGGAGGCGGAGGGGAGGAGGAAGGAGGAGGCGGAGGAGGCAGGAGGGAGGAGGCGGAGGAGGAGAGGCGGAGGAGGAGAGGAGGAGGAGGAGAGGAGGGAGGAGGAGAGGAGAGGAGGAGGCGGAGGAGGACGAGGAGGCGGAGGAGGAGAAGGAGGAAGGGGACGCTCTTTGCACGGGGGCGGTCTCGGCGCGCGGAGCGCGCGGCGCCCCGGGAGGGGGGGCGGCCCGCAGGGCGCCCGCCCAGGCGCCACCTCACACGTTGATCGGGGCGTCCATCTGCTTCACCACCTGGGCGCCAGGGCAGGGCTGAACCTAAACAGTGTTTTTCGTTTTCGTTTTGTCTTCGCTTTCCCTCGCTTTGTCTTCAACCCGCCTCTACCGAGAAACGAAGTCGAAGCGAAAACGGCCCACGAAATCGCCAAAACACCGTTTAGGTCCAGCCCTGCGCCAGGGGGGGGGCGGGCCGGGAGGGGTCCACGGCGGTGCCGCGGGGGGCGTCCGCGGGGGAGGGGGGGGGGGGCGTCCCAAGGCGGGGGCTCGCAAACCATGGCCCGAGGCACGTGCGCGGTCCAGGGGGGGGGGCAGGTGACGCAGCGAAATACGCAGAGGGGGCATCAGATCCAGGGAGGTAGCATGGCCCCCGCCATGATATCCGACCCCCCTCTTGGCCGCCCCCGAGATGCCAAATCGGAAGGGGACAACATCGGACCAGGACAAAGACGGACCAGGCGGCGTTTCGGGTCGTGAGCTGGCTCCCTCCTGCACCCCCTCCACAAGGCACCCGCCCCGACCAAGTTGGAATGAAAGAGGCCCCTTAGACAACCCCCGAAGGACTCACTTCACCTAAAAATGCTCCGCGAGGGGCTTCGCCAAGAAGGCCCCCAGACATCAAAAGCCTTCCCGTCGTCCTCGTCCTTCTCCTCCTCCTCCTCCTCCTCCTTCTTGCTCTCAGCGTCGTCGTCGTCGTCGTCGTCGTCGTCTTTCGTCGTCGTCGTCGTCCAACTTGTCCTGTTCCGCCTTCTCGCTCATTCGCAGGGGGTCGGCGGACTGGCGTTAGCCTCTTGAATATAGCGGGGATCTGTGAGATCTGGCGGTCCTGGATGATGCGCCGGGAACCGCGGCCGTTCCAGAGCGCTCCGGAACGCTCTCGAGAGCGTGTCGGGACGCTCCGGAGCGATGTGCCCTAGCCCTGGCCCTGCCAGCAAGGGTCCTGCGCGAGAGGGTGCCGTTCCAGCGTGCTGCCGCGTCCGAGGGGCGCCAGGTCAGGAGGAGCGCGCAGCAGGGTGGTCGTTGTTTCAGGCCCCGGCGCGCCTGGGCCACGAAGGGGGGCCCTCGGACCCAGAGCCGAGGGGCGGTCCGACGTCCAGGGAGCCCCTCCTGGGACAGCAGGGGGCCGCACGGCAGGGGCCCGACCAGAAGATGCCTGCCACGAGAGGCCCAACCCGAAACCCCGGGACGTCCATCGATGTCTTCACAGTGTGCCAGCGTGTTGGCCGCAGCGGCCGCCAGCGC